TCTGATCATGGCCTTCTCAAGGCACAGCCTTCTGCAGCTCCCACTGCATAAGAACAGACCTTTGACTATAGTGTATCAATGGCTATGCAGGTCAAAAAGCTACGAAAAAAAATTGTTAGAAGTTGCGAAAATTTTGAGAGGTATCTCCCATTCTCTTCGATATGCTGATTTCTGACTTTTGTTCATCGTTTCGTATTTTTTTCAAACTCACTTGTGCAGCCAATATAGAAGCGTGTTAATTGTATAGTCAGAAAGAATAATTTCAGCCATTTTATTGTCATAAGGCGAGGGGAACGAGATTGGAAAAGCTCCAAATGGTGTTCCTAGAATAATCAGATCGTTAGCGAACATTTCCAATGCAGCTTATGATTCTGTACCTCCTTGCGCATTTGGGCTAAATTCGCCATTGAGATCAATTGTGAAATCGTTTGAACTTGCTTGAGTGTTCAGCAGTTGTAGTGAAAGATAGAGATCGTCTACCTTACTCTGTAATATCAGAACATCAGAGAAAAATAAAATATAAGCTTATTGTCCTGCTACCTTATCAAGTTGGTTACCAAGCAGCCTCAAAAATTGTTGCATAGAACCTTCTGCACCACCAGTAGCACCTGGACATTTAGCGCACAGATCTGAGGGAGATGGCTCCGATGGAGCGCTAGGCGCCTTAAACAGAATTATATGACTATGAACTTTTGAGATGTCAATAGGTACAAGTGGTCTAGGTCTACTTTAGAAGCGCGCCGATGCACAAAATTCTCGCGATTAATTAATTGGCTCCTATATTACGGCAATAAATCTTCAATTACGACATAAAAATTTATAGCTGGATAAATTTGTTTGGTAAACAAAAATCTAGTGCTTTCTCATTGTTTGAAGCAAGTGGATTAACGGAAGTGGGCAGTGTCACACCATTGTAAAACAATGTCACCTCATTGGAATCGAAGGCTTGAGAATCACATATTACTGTACATCTTACATGGACATTGTTCTATCGGTTAATTACCGGTTCTTGCTCTCCTCCACGACGGAATGGCATCTTACGGCGTGAGGGCGCAGCGTGAACAACGGGACGAGCTGAGTGAGTGCTCGTGCGCAAAGTTGTAGCCTAGAATATATAGTCCTTTTTGGCCCTTTATACCCTTCGTACGCCTTATGATACGCATGCCTTATTGTTTTTCAAGAAATGCAATGGAGTTCCTCTTCCAGCGGCGTGTCGTTGTTTGTAGGGTGCCTTGGCGACTTCTGACGCTTGTCCTGAACTGACGTCAACTGGAGCCGATGCTGGTGGAGCGGAAGGTAAAGCTGCAGAAGTTTCAGAAGCTGGGGGTTGCGATGCTGCGATAGACGCGTTCGCACGGCAGTAGGTTTCACACTGAATTTGTTTTTATAATTTAGGTCAATCTCTGGATAAACGGGTTTTACAAATTGCCCGAATACGTTTAGTCCTTAGTTCTCACATACTGCGCACTGGGTGTCTCCCCTCCAATTCCCAATAATGCTTCCCCGAACAAGTTGAGTATTTGTGTTACACCGATAGTTTGTGGTAGACTAGCCAGCCTAGAGTTTACTCTCTCATCGAGTATGCTCGGCAGTTGTCTACAAATCCGGCCGGGAATCATTTTTCGAACAAGACGCGATACACGTGACTGAA